GCTGCCTTTGAGATTGCCTAGAACGTCTTTGTAAAAACAGACCAGGAGAGGAGATACCTTTTTCCTCTCCTTCATGCTCTTAGCAATCATCTAATCTTAAATACTGCTTCTGCCTTCCTCCTTTGCTCGCCTTCTGTCATGGTACACCTTGCAGCTGGAGTACATCTCTTGAAATCACCCATCAAATGACTTTACTGCCTTCCATTCATATTCACTGAGAACCAATTTCTACCATACCTATCGTTTTCTAAACTACTTCCATCTCATGAGCTGTTGGCATTCTCAGTCCTGTGCACTTGTCTCTGATATTATCAGGATTATAAGGTTGCCTGAACAGGAGCATGTTCTTCTTTTGTAAAGTTCAGAAGAAATTTATTGATGTCACGGGTGTTCATATATCATCTTTTGTATGGAGTGCTCTTTCTTATACGGAATATTTCACAAGAAAAAAATTGATTACCTGATTTATATTTTGCTGATTTGATTTTTTGAGACAACATCATTATTTATTCTTTAATAAATCCCCTTGCTTAGGGACATGGTTTAGTGGTGGGATGGCAGGGTTAGGGTAATGGTTGGGCTTGATCATCTTAAAGGTATTTTTCAACCTAAACGATTCTATGATTTTAATTGGGTTTTGTGGGGTTTAGATTTTGCTATGTATAATGCTCAGCATGATAAAGTCAGAGTGGTGGACCTGTATTTTAAAGGTAGTGAGAAGTATGACTGTCAGTTGTCTTTGTCACTGGTCTACTCCATATTTTTGAATCATCTCTTGAGAGAATGTCCATGTTGGAGAGAGAACTCTTCATCACTGGTATTCAAAGCCCTTTGTGCAAGAGGAACGTCATTGTTGATCGTGGTCTCTGGTTTGGAGCTTTAAGGGGTTGTGAGTCCTGGCTGTGAAGCACATTGAATGCAAGCCTCAAAGCACTTTCCATTCTCCAAGAGGGTGTTGGAGGGAGCAGCGCCGTGTCTGCTGCGGTCACAGTGGTGGGGGGTGGAGAGGAGACACAGCGTACTGCTTTTTGTCTTGAAGAACTGAGTGTTTCACGCTCAAATACATTGCATTGCTGTAGGAATCCATGTAATGACAGCTATGTGAATGACTGGTTCCACCAGCTAGGAGAAAGGAATGAAACCTCTATGTGGAGGTTATGGCAAGCGTTGTTCACTGCCATGTATGAATATTTAGTATATCCAGAAGTTCCTGGATTAACCGGCTGTGTGCACCTCCAATTATAGCTGCAGACTGCTCCATCCATATCTCCTCTAAATACTGACCAATGCATGAGCATTGCTTCGCTTGCATTTCTTTTACATTAGCTGCCTTCAGCTGCAAACTAACTAGTAATGGTGCAATCACTGGGGGCGAAGTCTAGGTAGCACTGTGTCTCTCCCCTGCTGTCCTTGACTCTGTTCAGTACCATCTGATCCTTTTCACGAGTGGTTCACACAAGGTTATGTTACATGAGGTACATGAAAAACGGTGGTATAAGTCATGTGGCTGGTAATACTTCAAGGCATTGAAATACAATGCATTGCACGCTACAAGCAACTTACTTTATCTGGAAAAATTGTCTACTATGCATTTTTCTCATTTCTGTCGCCAGCTTGGTCTTAAGTCGTAATTTTCATGTCTTGTAACATTGTACCGCTCTAAAAATCCTGTGTATGTTGATTATACAAGCTGGAAAAGCACTGAGACATATGATTGAAATATGTTGATATTCACAAAAATGTTCTTGCTTTTAAACACTTCAAGGACGTTTCATGCATACCCAAAATGTGAGTTCAGCTTGTGATGGCTCGGGCTTCCAATTTAGGGCATTTTTAAAAGACATTTGATCTATGAGATCGTATTAGTTCTCAAATTCTCTCAAAGTGCTCAAAGGAAATTCCATCCCACTGCCCAGTTTCAACTAAATGATGATAAAGTATGCATTTCAAGAATATGAAGTCCTGAGGCTTTTCCTGAGAGTCAGAAATGGGTAGAGGAGAGTTCCTGAAATTGTTGGCTGTCCCAAGGGACAATTTTCCTTGCATTTGGCTTATTGGATGGCCAGTTGCCATTAGCATGGAACCAGCCTCAACACATACCTATTCCTATAATCTATTTTCACCTATTTATGAAGGACATAGGAAAGAAAGTTCTGTGCAGGAAAGTTTTGGGGAAGAGTCAAAGAAGAACCTAAGGTTTTGCAGTGCAAGATCACAGAAAATATGCTGAAAGATTGGGTCGAAGAAGAGGGAGAGACCCAAATTTGTGCCTGCAAATCAGTTTTCCAAGTTTGACTGTTTATCCTTCTAAACACTTTGCCACTAAAAGCAAAAATATTTTTTTAAATGTTTCAAAGAATGTGATCACATACAATACCAAGTACATGTCTGATTATGAAATGAATTGGCACAGGTGAAAGAGATATCTGGTTTACTGATTGTAAAAATTTACCTCCTTCAGCTTGATGACAAAGCCGAGGTGAGATGCAGCAGTCATCTCCCCAGTGCCAAAGCTTGAAGTGGAAGCAGGGGGACAGTCCCATCACATTGCTCACACCTGAAAAAGTTTTTCTGAACAGTCTCAGACTAAAACTATCAAACCAACCTGCTAGAACCCTGGTGTCTCACTGTTTAATGACCATGTCTAGAGTCATGTGGCTTTTGTATATAATATTGAAGAAGGTTAAAAGAAATAGAGAATCTGTTGCTGAAATTCTAGTTCCTTGTAAGCTATTGACAATTCTGATGTTACAGTTTTGTGGTCACGCTACTGTTTTGTGATCATGCTACAGTTTTAACCCGCTGAGGTGGTAAAGCTGCCGAAGGTGAGGTGCTTCTCTGCAGATTTCATGATTCTCTTGTTATCAAGTATTTATGTAAACCCTTTGAGTTAAATAATCTTCAGCTCTCCTATCAATATTTTTATTTTTGCAGTATCAATCTTTTGGGTACCAGCTTTTGTAACTGTGCGTTTTAAACAAAGCTGCTATAAACAGCCATTTACAGGTTCTGTTTCTGAGACAGCTTTAAAAAATGTGTTGTATATATTTGCTCTTACTCTAAATGTTAAATATCATTGCACATAACGATGCAACCAGATGGTATGCTGCATAAGCTGTTTATCATTTTACGCATTTATCACTTTACACTAGTGAGGTGTACATGTGTTTGATTAATATTAACTATTGATCTATTTGGAGGTCTTTATTTTTTGACAGCATTAGGGGGTATATTCTAATCCATACTGGCTTCCAACCTTAAAATTTAATTCCGGTAAAGACAGAGTAGATGCATTCTGTAGTTCTTCATTGCGTGAACTTTTTCGCTGTGGGAAAGAATTACCTGGTTGAGGTTTTAATACTGGAAGGAATTTGGAAGTAAATGGATAACTCTGCTAAAATGATTTAGATTAAATTTAGATGCCATTGGTCCAGCTAAATAAACACCATATCTTGGAATTAAATACCAGATGCTAAGAAGGTGTAAAACAAAACAAACCAGCAACAGTCCTATTCAAATCTCTATTCTTTTATATCCTCCACCTTCAGAATGAGAGAACTTCGTATTTGCCCTCTCCACAGGTCTGGATGTTCAGCATGTGTTACACCTACAGCACTGTCTAAAACTAAAAAAGCGTCTCAAAAACCATCTCAAGCTTGTAGATGTAGCACATGGGCCGTACTTCGAGATTCCTGACTGCAGCACTGTATTAAAAATACGGTTTACCACGATGTTATTTCCTCATAATGCATTTTGTCTCAGCTAAAGCCTGAAAAAAGGCAAGATTTTTCCTTTGATACAATGGATGGGAGAACAATTTCAAGCTGGAATGGGTCTGCTTGTGCGTGTTCTGCAAAATGGCAATAATATTTAATGAGAGATTTTGCTCTAAACTGTAAATTCTTTTGAGTGTGAGATGCCCAGCCTGTCAGAATAAATAGAGGAGGCTAAAAACACTTACTTTAAAAATGACTGTTCATTTTTGGAAGGCACTGAGTGATCTCAGTGAAATATAACTGAGTCAGTTGGATTTTGGATAGAGCTCAAATTCCCAGCATGTATCCTGGCAGCCTCTCTTCTTCGCTGATTCCATTCCTCAGTATCTTTTATGTTCAAACAGCACATGCAGCGCTTCAGTCTTATATGCTTATATGCTATCATTCAGATTCCTGATAACTTCCAGTGACTTCTTATGGATTGGATGAATAAATAAATTACTTCTACCCATGCTTATTTACAGTTTTATGCCTATGCTTTCTTCTATGTCTATTCATATCATGGAAAGATGTATACAGCAAAAATTATGATGTAGCACTAGGAATTACGCAGAGAGTATACATTTTAAAGTTTAATGTTGCGGTGGAGTTTAAAGTTTAATTGGCATGACCATAACAGCTGTTTAGGGCTTCATATAGTTAACTCCTCTTTTTCCACAAAGACTCTTTTGGACCGCTATGGCCCTGTTGCCTTTGCTTCCAGGGCATCAGATCAGAGGAGAGTGCATATAATAAAAAAATGTGTTTTGAACATGAGAACTTAGTTCAGGAGTGAAAATCTTCCTTCCTGGGAGATCTGAAAACCTTCTTAAGATCTCGTTGGTTGTGTTAGAGAGTATAAAATGGATATAAGCATTTGTGGATAATGCAGTCATGAGAAACAACTGTCATTTAAGAAAATATTTTTAGTGTACGAAATGCAGAGTTGTAGCACACTAATTGTTGGAAATAAAATACGTAAAGGGAAAGATTAGGTTGAACTCAACTTTTTTTTTTTTTTTAAACTGGTAATTATAAGGAAATGAGTTTCATATTTCATGAAGAGCTAGCTTTGTTTTCCTGTTATTGTGTCAGCTATATGCTGTTTCTTAAATATGAAGTTTTATTAAAGGACAGTAATTAGAAATTCTATATCTTCCTGTTCTTCCCACCTTCTGGTTTTAAAACTGAAATAACGGCATTTTTCTATATTTTGATCTAAAAGACTATTTCCTTTCTTTGCAGGTTAATAATGAGAATGTAGTGAAAGTTGGCCACAGGCAGGTGGTGAACATGATTCGACAAGGGGGCAATCACCTAGTTCTTAAGGTTGTCACAGTAACCAGGAATCTTGATCCAGACGACACAGCTAGAAAGAAAGGTACATTTTTCTCTTTTCCTTATGGACTCCTTTTGGTCTTGCTCCACAGAAAATAAGAGTATGGATGCAAAATTACTGTTTTATACATTCTGATTTATAGATTTGACTTTTAAAATTTGAAATACCCTTCTCTTATTTAATTTAGAGTAATTTAATTCTGTTGACTTGTGCATTGATATGTGGCAAAAAGGGCAATATTCTCTTGTCATGCTTGCCATGACATTTCAACTTTATGGATTTTTATACATTTTTATGTTTGAAGGTCTTGTAGTAAAATTTCCTGCAGCAGCGAGAGAAAAAAAGCACAAAGAACAGATTATCTTTTATCGATTAATTCCAAAGGTACTTGAGCCGAGGTTAGTTTGATTCCTCTTGAAATCATTGAGAACTTACGATTTTGATAAACACATATTTTAGAAAGGACCTCTGTAAGAATAAGAGAAGTAAGCAGTATGTTTAGACTGAAGTTCTGTTAGAAAAACAGTACATTTTAATGGGAAAATTCCTCTAGATGAATTCAAAGTAGAGGGGTTGTTCCAGCCAGGGAAAATACCTCCTCCTCCCATAAGTAAAAAACATGCAGAGTCTTTTTCTGCTGCTTGGCTGCTAGCAAGAAAGCAGCCATTCCGGGAGAGGTTAACATAGCATCGTGTGGCATGAAGACTCTGGGGAAGAATTGTCTGGGTGCAAACAGGAAAAGGGTTTTCTTCCAGATTAAAAGCCTAGGGTGTTTTTTTTTAATATTAACTTTAATGGAGATTATAGATTAACCATAAGATTGGGCTACTCCCTTAAAAATTTCAATTTTCAGTTTCCCACCCAACTACCCAAAAAAACACCAAAATTTCACAAAAAAAAAAAAAAAAAAAAAGAAAAAAAACTGGATCTTGCACTATTTCCTTCACCTTAGATACCCCTGAGTTTGCTCAGGTAAAAGCTACTCTGGGAAGTCCTTAGGCCCTCATAAATACCATTAAGCAGAAAAGATTGCTGCTGCTAACTACAGTTCAATACGGCAGCATCACTTTTTTGAAAATGCCTGTTCCTCCCACCAGTCCCCTGAGTTGTCACTCACAGCCGCCTGGCTCTTCAACACAAGAGTGGGCTAGAGGCTGGCACCCAAGGGCTCACACTTTGTCCATGAGTAAAACTTTCTGTCTCCACGTGAGTGTTCTTGACATCTACTGCCTTAAAAAAAAATAAAAAATACAGCACCTTGGGGGAGAAAATGGCTGTATTAAAGTAAATAATGTCCAAACATGGTCCTACATTAATTTTAGCTTGACAGTATTACTATTCACACATTTTAAACAAACTTTTCACCTCTGCCTTTTGGGATGTGTCATATTGGCCTTAAGTAGAAGTGCCATTGTGTACAACCCAAAGGGCAGTTGCTTCTATAAAAACAAACCCAGTTCTTTGTCATCTTTCCAGAGCCTTCTATTGATAATATGTCATTTGCCAAAACCATTCACTTTTGAATCTTGTCCCTTTTTGCTGGAAGTTGTTAGCCTTTCTTGTTACCTGGCAATTGCCATTGTACCTTAGGAGGTGTGTGGAAGGATCTTCTTGCCATCGGTCTCCTTTATGGTGAGGCCAGCGCCAGATAGCCAGCCCCATTTAACAGTCCAGTATTTCGTGGGGTTTCCCTCAGAACTTTGTCGTCACTTCTCTTGTTGGGCAAGGGCAGACTGCAGACTGGAGTCAATATGTGCAGTACTTACGCAGCCTCATACCTGGTGCAGAACCTGAGCTATATTTTTGCTTTCTTGTGACACACTGTTATTCAAGCCTCTGTAAGAAGGTGATGGAGCTTAGCAGGGAAAGGATGATGCTGACACAGTGGATATAGGTGATAAGGAAAGAATGTTGTCTACTTTTTTCCTCCATCACTCTTTCTCACCCTCAACCTCTTTGCCACCCTTTTGTCAAAATGGTGTGGCCTGATGTATAGTATTGACCAAAACACTTAAAAATCCTTACTTCTTCCTGGTGTCCCAGAGCCATTTCTGTTTACTGGAAATCTCCCAACTTTCCTACCAACATTGGCATAATCTTTTCTGATGTTGTGCTCCTTTCTGACTGCCAGAAACATTGGTTTTCAGGATAATAAAAGCACCTGATGGATTTTAGTTTCTGTGCTAGATGATTGCCTTGATTTTTTCAGATCTTATTTATCCTGAGGATCACTTGTTTTCCCTAGTCTCACCATAACTATTAAGATAAATTTGAATCTTCTTTCTTGTATTTCTCAGATGTAAAGCTTTCTTCAAAGCTGAAATTAATCTGGCGGAGATTGGCTGGTCTCCAGGAGATTTTTAGCTATGTACATTTCTTAGAAGGAGGGGCACAACTGCTGTGAGGCACTTTCTCTAGAAAGTCTTTTTCCTACTGAAAAATAGAAGTGCACAGTTATTTAGCTTTAAATGTTTCTATGTATCCTGTTACATAAAAGCTTGCTGACGTGGCAAACAACCTACACTAAAAGTAGAAACAGTATAGAAATTCAGTACATGAAAAGCATCTCAGGGTTTTTTCCTCTACATGCATGTATTTATTATTACCTTATTTAATGTAGCGTATTCTTTTAAATAAATATGTAATTGTGTATGTGAATATAGTGTTTGAGGTGTGTATTTACTTACACTGTATATCCTTCTGTTTATGCAAAGCCCCACCACCTCCTAAGCGAGCTCCAACCACTGCACTGACCTTGCGGTCTAAGTCAATGACCTCAGAGCTTGAAGAGCTTGGTAAGAGAGTGTTTTTTGACAAGCATGCTGGCATAATAGAAATTTAAAAAAATATATATATATATATGTATATATGTTAAATTCACTAAAAGGAACTGCACTGTGTACAGTATATAGAACAGAAAAGGTTTTAAGAATGCTGCATCTTCAGAGAGTTCAAATATGCATGATTTGCATGAATAATTTTTGTTTAAACTTGTGCCTTTACCGCTACGCAAGAGAATGTTGATACATTTTATGCATCATCAAAGTTTGGCACATCTACTAAAAAGTAATGCCGTATCATATTTTGTTAGCTTTGCTTTCTGAATTTTCAGTTCATCTAATATTGTTTTATTTTAAATTTCTGTGGCCTCTCATTAGTGGATAAAGGTAAGCTGCCAGAAGCTGTTGTTAAAAAGCTGACAGTGTTAAAGCAGCTTCAACTTCAACTTGTTGTCATTAGAGTCTGATCTGAAAAAGTGCATATTATGATATCACTTTGACTTCTGTGCATGATATAAACTTAATTCTTCTCACTATTGGTAATAAAAAAGTATTGAGCATTCAGTCTTTCATTTGCTAATTTTAAGAAATGTGATTGTAGATGCCTTTGCTTGATCATCCACATTCTAGATATGCATAATTCTCTGGGAATTTTGATTTGTTTTCTAGAATTGAGGAAGGTAACTTCTTTTCTTCCTGGTTTTAATCTGTTAGGTCATTAAAAAGTAGAATTTCTGCAGCTAGATTAATAAATATGTATGTATGGACCATATATACAAAGAGAAAAGCCCAGTGTGTGTTTATATATGGCTGTTACACTAGAACAGTGTGTTTGGCAAGTGATAATTGGGTATAAAAACAAACTATGTCCCTCATTGCAGACTAATAGTCTATCATACAGTAAAACCATTTTTCCATGTAGTCCTACATCGATTTAAATACTTATATTTTATAATCTGTTTTTTTTTTTTTTCTGGCATGGACTCATATGAAGGCCAACTGGAAGGAATCAAAGCCTTGTGGCCACTTTTTTTCCTATGGAAGTCAATGTTTTCTGGGGCAGATGGACCCCATCCATCTTTTAGGGAGTCAAGTCACATAGCTTCAGTGGGAGTTCTTACCAACAAAGGGGTGCTGAAGTGATTACTGTCTTCTCTGTGGTATAACAACCAAATGAAGACAAAAATCATAGAATCATAGAATCGTTTAGGTTGGAAAAGATGTTTAAGATCATCAAGTCCAACCATTACCCTAACCCTGCCAAGTCCACCACTAAACCATATCACTAAGCACTACATCTATACATCTCTTAAATACCCCCAGGGGTGGGGACTCAACCACTTCCCTGGGCAGCCTGTTCCAGTGCTTGACAACCCTTTGGGTGAAGAAATTTTTCCTAATATCCAATCTAAACCTGCCTTGGTGCAATTTGAGACCATTTCCTCTCCTCCTATCGCTTGTTCCTCGGGAGAAGAGACCAACACCCACCTCACTACAGCCTCCTTTCAGGCAGTTGTAGAGGGTAATAAGGTCTCCGCTCAGCCTCCTTTTCTCTAGGCTGAACACCCCCAGTTCCCTCAGCTGCTCCTCAGAAGACTGAATGAAACAGTCTGATTATTTAGCTCTAACAGAGCTCAGAAAAATTGGCTTTTCTGTGCCAGGAAGCTTAGGAGCCTGACTAAAGGTTTCAGCCATTTGTTCATGATCCATAATTTTTCTTACAGGATTAAAATGTAAAATATTATTTCTGGAGCCACTTTTTGGGTTTGGGTGTTTCGATTTGTTTTTCTTCATGGAGTGCTGAGAGGCTGTAAAACTTGGCTGGCTTATCAACAGACTTTCCCAAGGGGACAGAAATACTTAGGCAATCATTTTCCCCCCTTCATTATCCCCTTCTGCAAACCACTTTCAAACTGAGAGTATTCTTCTATTTCTCTTACTTTTCAGTCTTACATAATAGATACTGTTCTTAAAGCAGGGAGAAGCTGCACTCTTTTCTAGGAGAAAATAGCTTATTAATGTAAAGTCACCTCTGCAATGAAGACCATCATATTTAGCTTTCTCACCCCCCTGTTCAGGTTATCATACTTGATCTGCTGTTTATTCTCATCGCCTGGCAGAAATCACTGCAACTCTTGTGTCTAGCAGCCGTGGGACATACTTGAATCTTTAAGCACATTTCCCATCCATATCTTTATCCTGATGGGGCAAATATTACAGTGGCAAAACTTTACTAATAAAGCTATAGTAATGCTAGAGCATGGCAGAAATTAGTCTTCTTCCTGCGCAAGGCTGTAAATACCAGTTCCATGATACTCTGAACATTTGGCACCCTAGCAAACAGTATTACTACTGTTATAAATAACACCTGTGGTCTGCCTAGTTTAATATTTGTCCTGTAAAAGGGCTATTATCAGAAGGAACAAGAGTTCTTAAATTGCACAACAACTGAACAAGCTGCCAACGAGAAAATGTTCTTGCTATCATCAATTAAAAGTTGTCTTCTGACACAAAACACAGATTGTATGTGTGTATTTATATATAATTTATATATTTTTATATGTATATGTGTATATACTGGACATCCGTATGAACTATGAGAACACCCACATTTTTATAGCCGTTAAACTATATAATGAATGAGCATTTGTTTCTGAATCTATATGTGCAAACTAAATAGGAAGTACGTATAGATGAATGCTGTGGATGTTCTCATCAATATATATGTGTAATCTTTTCTCTGAGCTGAAGAAACTCATGGTCTCAATAATGTCTCGTGGCAAAGAATTCCACAGGCTAATTATGTGCTGTGTACAAATGTATTTCCTTTTTATTGGTTTTAAATGTGATGCCTTTAATTTTATTGAATGTCCCTTGTTATGTAATAGAAGGAAAAGATAAATAGAAATTCCCCATTTGTTTTCCCGTAGAGTATATATTGTTGTAATTTCTCCTGGCTAAGCGAAACAACAACTTTTTTTTTTTTAAATTATACATCTTGCAGTCTTTACAGTCACTTCCTTTGCCTGGCTCTGAACTCTACTTCTGGTTTTATTGACATATTTTTAGCTACTCTGTTCTCCGTAATACTGAGCAGACCATCTCAGTTGTTCTCTTTCAGATGAGTTAATCCAAAATACGTCAGATAACGTGTGCTAACGATTCCTTTCCATTTCAATCTGCAAAGATTTGGAAATGCCCTATGACCATAGTTTGAAAGCTCTAGTATCAATAAGTTCCCCGATTACTGTTTTTAAAAAAGAATTTAGAAAAAAAAAATTGTACGTGTATCCCTAATATCTTCAAGGGAGTAATTTCTTATAGTTAAGGTGTAAACCCTGATAAACTGGGCTTTTGCCAAGCTGTTTATCCGCTGTGGTTTGATAGATACATGCGTAGTAGAGGCTAGCAGTGAGAGGCTAACTTCTTAAATGGCAGAAAAATGTTTATGCTCAAAGTGACAGACAAGGATTTAGCATATAAAAATTACCTTCAGAATTGATTCACAGTTCATTCCCTTTCTATTTCCAAGCTTCAGTACGGAAGAAGAAGGGTAAGGGGAAGCATTTTGTCTCTTGTTTAACCTGTTTCTCACCTTTCCATAGTGAAGGATAATAACATGATGTAAATGTTGGCATATGGTCCAGTTTATTTTATGGTGTCAAATGTACATTAATTATTGTATATGTTTTTTAGTTACTTAGTTAATAAATTGCAAACACACTAAGAACTAAAACAGAAGACTACATTTGAAAATACTCCCCACATTTCTTCCTTTTGTCTCCTTTCCTCCATCTTGCCTTTTTTCCTTCTTTGTATCCAACTCTTTTCCAAACCCTTCCATATCATCTCCTCACAGTTACTGTGCTAACTGACAGCCACAGAGAATATGTGGCCAGTAACATACCCTCAGTGTAGTCCTACGTTAGTGATTTCACTTGTCTTTTTTAATGGCCAAACATTACTCCCATAACCACACTGTCTCTGTCTCAGGAAATAGGGATCTTGCACACAACACTCAAACTTTTGACCTGGAGAAATGCTGCTCTGCACAATTTTAAGTTTTCAAGATAACATCTTCCACGCTGTCCCGTATGCATGGAGTGCCCTCCCTGAACTGATTCATAAGCCCACTGCCTTCTCCTTGAAATCTCCCCCCAAAACCCACTTCCCCTACAATCCCTACTAAGCACTCATCTAAGTAATGATGGCTAGGCAAGAGGGGCAGGTAGAAATAGTGGTGCTATTTTAATAGTTTTTATAAATGTAACCGTATATATATGTATGCAGAGTTTGTTTGTGTTTAGCCTTATTTTTCCATACTCCTGTACGTCATTTTGCTTTCTTAGATTGTAAGCTCTCCTGAGCAGGGACTGTGTCATCTACACATTTTCATGGCGTCTAGCCCAAGGAGGAGTCTCAAACCTCCCCGAGGCCCTGGGTGATAGCTGGTAAAACAGTCTACGTCCTGCTCATTGACAAAGTTCAGTGTCACGGAAAGGAAAGCTAGGCTGTAGGCAGTGTCTTCTCTCAACAGCAAACCTTTTGCTTTTCAATGTTAAACAGGACAAAATCAAGTTATTTTCCACTCTTCATTTTTGTGCTCTTTCCTGACCTCCTTTCAGGTTGCTAACAGAGGTTCCAGATAGTGATATTTCCTATTCTCCATTCAGAGAATATGACAGAATAAACCCCATTGCTACTGGTATTTTTCTGAAAAATACGTGTTGGCTGCATATAAAAAAATCTTTATGTTGTTACTGTAGAGTCTTCTGTCAACGAAACATTCTGTTTTCTGGGCCATAGGTGAGGGAGGCATTAAGATTCAAATAACGGCTTTTGCTGTTCTGTTTGACTGGTTTTGTTGGTTGTCTTTTGAGAGGGGTTCTGGTTCACTGGGAGGATAGGATAAGGGAAGGACACAGGCCGTATTTTTTTGTATTCGGGATAGAAGATGTGGCGTTGGTGTCTAAAGGGATAGGTGATAAAATCTTCGGGTGTATAGCAGTATGGCATGGGCAGCGTTCTCATTTTACTGCAGTTGCGTAGCACAAATCACTAAAATGTGAACTGTACTTCATCTGTGCCACTGACTTGCTGCTTACAGCAGTTGCCTGACTCAGAGAGAAAGCATCCAACTTCAAAATGTGTGTTTGGAGGGGATGTGGTTTCAGTAGCAAAACTGCTCACTGGATTTTGTGGGCTATGGGGGAGGGGGAAGATGCCTTCTTTTTTCTTTTGTGCCTTGTAGGTTTTCAAGACTTGTTGAGTAAGTTATGGCAACGTGTAAACTAACAGTCGTAGCAATGATTTTTTGGAGGCAGTACTTAAAATATAATTCTAGGTAATGTGTAGTTAGCCCATTAATACAGAAGAATAACCAAAATATTCAGGCAGCAAATTAATATTTGAAAATACAAATACTGAAAAGACTCTAAAAATAAAACATTAAAAGAAGATCTATGAAACCCCCAATGCATTTTTGAGAGTCATAACTGTCATCATCACTACAGAAAATAGGTGTCATCAGGCTTTCAAAATTAATATTTTAAAATAATAATTTTAACTCTGTTCATAAAAAGTTTGTGGCTCATGAAAAGCTTGTTTTTAAAGCGTTTTTTCTTCAGTTTTTGTTTCAACTTGTTTATCAATAGCTTCTTGTGGATGGAGAATTTTTAAATGATGATACTTAAGGAACATATCGATAAACTAAAATGCATAAATGTCTAGATACATGGGTTAAAAGTTTCCTGCTCCTAAGCTTTTCTTACTGCCAGGAAATGGGTGTGATTTAGTGAGTAATTTGGGATTTCCAGTGAAAGTTAAAGTGGACAGTGTTTAATTTTAAAAACCTAATTAAAAAATCCTCTAAGAGAAAGTATAAAATTAAGAATAGGGCGGGCTAAATTTTCCTAGTGAGATGGGAATGACAAGATAAATAATTCTTCTGCATTAATAAACATTACTTTGACAGTGTCATGCAAGGGTCAGCTGTGAGATAGGGGAGTGCTTTGCTTGTTCTTAGATTTGATATGGCAATCAATATAAAATAATCCCTCGATATGTGTTGATACTGATCTTTGGGTTTTGATGTGGGCTACAGTACCGAATACAAATGTAGGATTTTTCCTCCGTTGAGCAGTTTAGATGCTAGTACCACCTCTCAGATACAGAATAACTGTGATATCATCAACGCAGAATATTGTTACCTGGCATCAAGTCTTAGCAGCATTTGAATAGAAAAAATATCAGTTGATGGCATTCAAAAGCAATATTATTAGCTCTGTCTGCAAGAAGCATGCACACTTCATCCCATTCCTGTTGTCCATTGTTTCAAAGGTGGCACATTCTAATGGCATCTGAAACAATGAAATTGCAGAGCAAATATATATAAATGAATGCCAAACAGCGGATTACCTTACAGTGTTATGTTATGTTTGAAGAAACCACTCACAAAGACGTCTGGGTTCAAAACTCATTTTTTTATTTCACTGTGGTGGAGTTGATGATGGAGATTTGTCTGCAGGAAACAATGGAAATACCATTAAAGCAACTTTTACAGCACTCACAACGCTGACTCCTTTGATAGTTTCCAGCATCTGCAGTGCTTCAGTGTAGGAAGAAGGTTTTCTGATCTTCACCAGACACTGTATTTTAGAAGACGAGAGCAAAAAGCATCAGGCTTAATGAAGAATTCTTGAAGGGTGTCCTTGTAAGTAATAGATTTGCATTACATCTTTGAAATTCTAATGAGATAGGAATATAATAATAAAGTAAAGGTTGTCATCAGGTTGTCATTCTTCACAAGCATAAAGCAGTGACTCTGGGTGGAATTTGTGAAGTATATGTGTGAAAAAATCTGGGCCCCATTTTTTGTTGATGTAGCAAGGTCACAGGTTTTATGACTTCTCGTCTAACTTGCGGGAGGTCCACAGCAGTGTAAGAAGGTATAGGATTAGGACCATGCCTACAACATATGTGCTTTTAAAACACTTTTTAACAGAAAAGTATTGAAAGTTGGCATGTTCCAAGGAGAACAATGCAAACCCTATGTTTTCCACTAAAAAAAATGTGGCACCTAGCTGGCAATGTGCTGATTAGCAACTTTTGGCACAGAATCTTAAATGAACAGGTAAATCTCAGTACTGAACACTTCTTCAAACCTGGGCTTATGTTGCTTGAGGTAGGCAGCTTTACCTAGCGTTTTGAAAACACTGGGGATCCTGAGCAGAGGTCAGCTGAGTCCCTGTGTGGGTCTTCTCCTTATTTACACTAGTAGTATCTTGAAGTTATCAGCCTGTTCTTGAGTATGTAGCACCCTTTGGTGACACTTGTTTTTCTTTACTACAGGACAGCAATTGAAAAGGTTTTCAAAACCTTTCTGCACCAGCCAAACAAGACAATGGTATAAAAGAAGTTGGAAAAGGAATTGTAAGTGTTAATGAAAATGTGGGGTTTGTAGAATTTGGAAACAGATGAATTAAATATGTTGGCATACGTGAGTGTCACTTGCTGTACTCAGATATTATTAATTGAATATCTAACCACATACTCAAAATCGTGAGTGCTTGAGGAACAGTAAAAATTGCATGTGTTTCCCAACATGGTACAGTTAGGGCAGTGGAAAACCTTTTCAACGCTTTTAATGTGTTCTCTCTCTCTTTCAGGAGCCAGGGAGATGAAGGACTTATCTCCCTCATCTCAAAACTCCCTTTGCTGCTATTTCTCTTTTTTCTTTTCTTCAAATGTTCATATACCCATGTTAATTAATTTCTAATATAATTAAAAATAAATGGTTTTAGCGAATTCCTCATAGTTTGTTTGGTTTTTCCCCTCGGTGTTCAAGTGTGAGAGTAAGTGTAAGAACAGAGAAGGCTGCAAGTGTCTTAGGTCCTCCACCTTTCTTTTTGGTTCCTTTTGGTTGATTGTCTTTCTTTTGTGACTAGGCCAAATTTTCAAATGCTGTCTCTTAAACAGAACGTCAAAGTGCCGCTTAAATTCCACCTGGCTTGCAGGGTAGGAGTGGGTATTGACTATCTTCTCTGCTTTGTTTTTGTTCTTAAACAGAAACCACTGTTAGACAATGACCATTCCTCTTTCAAGGTAGGCCGAATTGTAAGGCTTCAGGATTGCAGGTGCATTTTAAATGCCTGTATAATTATTTCATTAATTGAACCTACTGTTAAAGAGCTGGTACTTGAAAATTGTATCTATAGAAGGAATTTGAACATAGCAGTTTTCTACCTTCCTTAAAACTACTTTTGATGTGTGATTATAAGATGTAAATGTGACTTACGTGTACTAATGTGAAGATATTTTCAGCCCTAGAAAGACAAATAAGACTTTCTTTCCAGAAAGTTTGGATAGTTCTTTATTGTGGATACATACAAATGACTTTCATAAATCATGTAATGATATTTATAGATACTGAATGTTATATGATTAATTTTAGTCACTAAACAGTTTTTATGTTTTACTGATTTATTTTTATAATTTTCCTTTTTGGGGGGATTTTAGTGTGCTTTGTAGAGTTTACAGTATCCCAGAGAACAT